TTTGTTAAATACTTGAAAATTGTATTTAAATTTCTTTAATGCTTAGTTTTGTCAATTTTGAATAATAAAATTTAACTTTTTGTCAACACTTGCCACCTTCAATCACTACCATAATTTCATAGTATTATTTTACTATAATTCATTTTATTTTTAGGATGAATGCTTTTTTCTATTACTTCAGTAATGTGTCACTTTATATTTGTCTCTTGTGCTGCAAATACAAGGATATTTCTGTGGTAAACGCCAGGTCATGAAATGTCTAGAATCGATGCAGTAGCTAAGGTATAAGGTATATGCATCTTAACTTTATTTATATTCCTCACAGTAATATTTATAATAGTTCCTTTTCTCCCCCAATCTCATAGAAATACGATTGTCAGGCTTAAATTTTGACTGTTGTGATAGTTGAAAATCATGTCATTGATTTATTAGTTTAAACTTCGTTACTAGAAAGGTTGGGGATGTATGTAGCTTAGTGGTAGTTCACTTGCCTAGTAGGTACGGGGATTCAATCCCCAGTACCACACACAAAAAATATTGCTACAGATATTGGAACCTCTTTTTCATATGTATATCATCTCCTGTTTTGTTTACTCAAATACAAATTATAATTTCATATTCAGTTTATGGACTTAAACATTATTTCACATTTATACACTTTTCCATTTGTATACTTTGTAGGTAGTATCTTCATCTGAGACTTTCTTTAAATTATGTTTTTACACAGAAATTTAAAATTTAAGAGAATTGAATTTTTCAATTTTTCATTTAGGATTTATATATTTTTTTCTATTGGAATTCATAAATTTATATTCCTTGAGATTAAATTTTAAAGTAAGTATATTAAATTGAGAAATAATAATCGTATACATTTATAGGACACAATATAACATTTATATGTGTATGTATCTACAAATTGGAGTGGTTAAATGAAACAACTTATCACCTCACTTCCCATTTTTTTGGTGAGACTTTTGAAGTTTACTTTGACTTAATTTCAAACATGCAGCTGGGTGTGGTGGCATAACCCTGGCTGTGGTGGCACTCAGGAGGCTGAGGCGGGAAGATCGTGAGTTCGAGACCAGCGTGGGCTACAAAATGAACTCAAAGCTGGTCTGAACTGCATAACAAGACCCTGTCTCAAAAAGACCATAATAAAAGTAATTCGAAACATACAGTACATTTTGTTGACTATAGCCACACAGTACAATAAGTCTATAAAATGTATTTCTCTTAACTGAAAATTTTTATCCTCTAATCAGCAGCTTTCTATTTGTGTATCACCTACTATAAAAAAAAAAGTTCTATTCAGACAGCTTGCCAGTTCCAATGAAGTATTCTTGAGTGTCAACTGACTAGATACTAAACAGCCAGGAGGATACAGTAGTGACTAAGGCTCCACTATAGTCTTTGAGATACTAACATTTTGTTGATAAGGACATCAAGCAGAGAGAACATGGGGAAAAGAAACAGAGATAGTAAAAAAAAATTCTGAGAGCTTGGTATGTAAGTTCCATGTTGATTACATAGTGGAGTTAGAAAGATGTGGTTGCCAGGTGTCTTGGTTACTTTTCTCTTGTTGCTGAGACAAAGTATTTGAGGCCCAAAATGAAGGAAGGAAAAGTTTACCTAGCTTACAGTTTTTGCAGGTTTCAGTCCATACTCAGCTGGATCCAAGGCAGGGTAATATGGCTAAGGGGCAGCCATATATGGCTGCCACTAGGGACAAAAGCAAAAAGGGAAAAATGGAAAGGCACACTCCTTCCTTATATGTCAGTTACCCGTTCCTAGGCGGGTACATGATACACCCCTCCAATTCCAGAGCTAGACAGCAAACAAATCCCAAGTGCTAGACTCAACCACCTTGGAAAGATCCACCCCCGCATAACCACATGAGGCTCTGGGGGGCTGTTTAAACACAAACCATAACACCAGGTCTGGTGGTGCACGCCTGTAATCCCAACATTCAGGAGGTCAAGGCAAGAGGATCACTGCAAATTTGAGGCCAGCCTGGGCTACAATGTCAGTTCAAGGCTAGCCTGAACTGCATAGTGAAACTCTTGTCTCAAAAAGACCCCCCAAAATCTGGTTGTCTGGTTTTGAAGTCTTATAATACATTCATTCTTCTTAATGGTTTTATACTGTTTTATTATGTTTGATACTGTTGTGTATGAAGGTATGGTCAACTATTTCGAAGAAAACAAGGGACATTATGGTGTCCTGTTGTCTTGTGAAGTACTGTATTGTTGCATTGTTCTGTTCTGATTTGCTTTGTTCTGTTTTTTGTTGTTGTTGTTGTTGTTGTTGTTTTATTCTCTTAAAATTGAAAAAAAAAGGAAAAAAAACAAAAAAGGAGAGAGATGTGGTTAAGATCATTGGAGGCCTAGACTTTATGTGTTTTCTAACATTTTGGTATAGACTTTATGTTTTCTAACATTTTGAGCATCAGAGCCGTAACTTCAAAAGAAATTAATGGTAATAACTACAATAATAAAAGTAATAATTATAATATCAGTTAATGTAGATTGATTGTTTTACCATGGTATTATGCTAAAATTTATCACTTACCTCATTTTCTCTTCATAGCAATGTTCTAAAAATAGGCCTTTGAGATTTTTTTTTTTCATTTCATTTTACTGAACACAACTCAGGGAAATTACTAATAAAACAAGTTAAAGCAACACCTCCTCTCAAGTGTTACTTCTGTGGAACAGAATTCATTTGCAGATTGTTGCCCAAAAGAATTGAAAGATGTAGAGGAGTTTGTGGAGGTAAAAATGACAATCAGATTTTTCTTTTATGTCTACCATTCTAGAAACTAGAGGATTGATTTGAAGGGAATAGGGACTGAGTTGAGAAGAGCAATTATGAGGCTATTGTATTAGTCTAAATGAAAGTTTAAAAATCTAAACCACAGGTTCTGGTGTTTTTCATGGAATAAATTGTCATGATAAAAAGGAATAGTCCAACTAATAATGGACTTAGAAATTTGTGCATGTCATAGTAAGGGATGAGGAATAATAAAGAGGGATACAGGAAATATTGTGGCTTGAGAAAACAAAAGGGACTCTTAATTTAATGGATCTGTGTGACTAACGTTGAAGAAATAGAATAAAGATCATTTGAGTTAGTAATAAAAAATGTAATTATTTAATTTCAATTTGGTAAATATGTACAGTGTATCTTCTAGTGTTGTCACTAAAATATTATCAGAAAAGAGTTCAATAAGAGAGCTTTTAAATTCTACATAAGCAGAAGGAATAAAAGAAGCAAGAGAATTTTTTTAAAAATTAGAGGTAGAACCAGTAAAATTGTAAAATAGGTTGCTATTTATGTAGTGTCTAAATCATGTAGATATGTAGTGTAATTCAGTTAAATTATTTAAAAAACCAAGTTTGTCAAACTAGATTTTAAAAAAATACATTGGGGCTGGGAATGTTGCTCAGTGGTAGAACACTTACCTAGCATATGTGAGGTCCCAGGTTCCATCCTTCGTACCACAAAACAAAAATTTTTACAAGAAATTGAGAAAGAATAAAATAAAAAAAAAAGATATATAAGGCAGATTACAAAAACAAATCTGGTATGATCATATTATCATGTGTGTCTTAAGAACAGGAATATATTCTGAGAAATGCTCTGTTAAACAATGTCATCATTGTATAAACATCAAGTATACATATTTATAGAAACATAAGAGATGTAAATGGTATAGCCCACTTAATACCTATTGTATGTAGTGGAGAAAGAAAGACTAATATCCTGTTGCACCTAGGACCATGATACACCAAGCAATGTGAGAGTAAATCAAGAATGAGAGAAGATGGTACAATCAGGAGACATAGTAAATAAAGCATTTACAAGGTTGTTGTCAGCATAACATAGCCTGTTTTATATGTATATGGACCTACTACAGAGCCTTTTTTTATTCTTGGCCCCAACCAAAACTAGCACCTTTCCAAGACACTTGGCCAGAGTAAAACACCTAAGTAAGGAACATACAGCCTCGAAAATCCAAACAGGTTCACTAGGGATTGTGCCTTTGATTTTGACTATAGGAAAGCCAGATGCAACAACTTCTCTTTCACCTTAGAAAAGATAATTTTGAAGAAAAATGCAGTGAGCCAATGTTGATATAAATATAAGAGGAAGCCTCAAATTAGAACACATCATCAAATAGCATTATTCAAGTCAACATACAATTTTCATGTGATGCATTATAAAGCCAAAATATCACATATAAAGTATTTTTTATAAAAGAGTTTCTTATGGGGCTGGGGATTTAGCTCAGCGGCATAAGCGCCTGCCTTGCAAGTAGGCAGTCGTGAGTTCGATCCCTGTACCAATAAAAAGGAAAAAGGCAAAAAACAAAACAAAACAAAACAAAGAGTCTCTTATGCACGTATGTATCAGGAGTACATTCTAAGGTAATAAGTACAATATAAATACACAAACCAGTTACATAGGAATTACTATCAAGTATTATGTACTGTACACAATCATGATTGCTGTATTTTTATTCAGATGACAGCTGAGTAGGTTGTCAGCAGCATCATCACAATCATGTAAGGCATTTTACAACAGTCTTAGGAGAGGTATACTATAGACTTCACTATAATCTTTTGGCACCACAGTTGTCTATGTAGTTCATAATTGACATAAATGTCATTATAAAGTAGACTTTAAAGGAGAAGAAAGTTAGAAGAGTGCCAGCATTTAGACCAGAACTTAAGTACACACTTTAGAATGAAGTTGAAAAGAAAATAATTGTATATTTCCAAGCAACAAATATGTTCATTGAATGTTACACTAATTTAAAGTTGAAGGCAAAACTGAAAGTTTGAGGAAATGGCTATCTGTAGGTTATGGAGAATTATAGTTTAGCCAAATATTTCCCCTAAATATTGGCTTTTTATTTACCTGTCATTGTAAGTTTATGAATGTTAGCAACACAAATACAATTAAACGTACTTGGTCTACCTTTGTTCTTATGATTTCAGGAATTCAAAATGTCCTCAGCCTGTTTTGTGCAGTTCTCACAGAAAATAAGGTTCTCTTCCATTCTGCAAGTTTCCAGAGACTTAGTGATGCCTGTAGAGCCCTGGAATCTTTAATGTTTCCTCTAAAATATAGGTGAGATTTTTAATTGGTTATTTACGTATACCCAAATTATCCTTCCTTATTGATAAGTCCAAGTGTCCTGGCACAGTGATTTTGAGGGCATAGCTTACAAAGTTATGTCATTACAAGTTGTGATTTTAATAAAATCTCAGATTTTGGAACTTTTCCAAGTTGTCCATTATGATGTGTTGATTAATTTAGTGAAAATAATTTTATTTATTTATTGAAAATAATTTAATCTGAATTGTCAGCAACACTTAATTCCCTTTGAATACACTCAGCAAATATTTAGTTTTTTGATATTAAAGGATTATTTTTTAGAGTTATAGGGATATTAAGGCTCCATTAATAAAAAACTTATTTAGATTCTCTGTTGAAATATTTTTGTATAAATGATATAGTATCTTGAGTTGTTTAAAATAATATAATAGAGAACAAAAATGGGTAGAAATACATGTGTAATTATGCACTCATGATTGTCAAAACTGAATTAGCTACCTGGGGCTTCATTATAATTTTTTTTCATTTCTGTTTATTTTAGTAAATTTTTTCACAAAATAAAAAGTGAAAAACAAAAAATCTGATACCTGATAGTGATAAGTACAATATTTTCATCTAATATACTGCTTAATCAATGTGAGAACCATGACATAGGAAATTGAACTTCATATAAATTTAAATAAAATTTTAGATTACCTCTAGAATTTCTTATTAAAAAGTTTAAAAATACATCTTTCAGATAAAACTGAATGTTCTTGACTTTATTTTTGCCATTTCTATTGAAAGAATACACATCAATTACTATAAGAAAGTGGAACCATGCATTGGTGGTTCATCTCTGTAATTCCAGCACTCAAAGAGTCTGAGGCAGGAGGATTACCACAAGGTCCAGCCTGGGCTACACAGTGAGTTCAAGGCCAGCCTAAACTGTGCAGCAAGACTGTACCTCAAAAAAACAAATAAAAAGAAAAGAAAATGATGCTTGAAAGATTATAAAAATCATTACTTGGTCTTGAAAAAGAAGGTTCCATTAGTGTTAATCACTAATTTCAAGTTTTTGCTTAAGGAGAAATGTTCTCAAACTATATTAAAAGACCAAAAGATACTGCTTACTTAAGGGAAAGAAGCAATAAGGGGCTTAACCTGGGTCCCATTTATATTGTGTCTTGTGTTTCATTGTATCTTGAACATGAAAAAAATTTTTTAAGTGTTCCTTTCAAACTTTGAATATTAATCATAAACATATTGATAATTTCTAAACATAATCTACACACAGCATGAAGATGAAAATATATATGTTTATATTGTGAAAAAATAAATATATTTGATACATATTTTTTGTTATTTCCAGCTATCCTTATATTCCCATTCTTCCAGCTCAGCTACTAGAAGTTCTAAGTTCTCCAACACCTTTCATTATTGGAGTACATTCTGTCTTTAAAACTGATGTCCACGAACTTGTAAGTATTCATCTTTAAAATTTTCAGTTACTAAGTCTAGAAATTTCTTGTATTTTTTTGAATACTATAATATTTCAACTGTTACCATTTTCAGATCGGTTACATTTCTAATGGAAAAGATTGATTGGAAGTAAAACATCACTGAAAAGTCTAATATATATATGAATTTATTGTAAGTAGGGAATTATAGTAAATAGGGAGATTTTTAAAAACTCGTTAATATTTTAAGACTATCCCTTTTGGCACAGTAAGCTTATCTCTCTGCAGTCTTTATCCTTGTGTATGATATAACAAGGTAATAATCCATGAATTAAATTTTTATTTGTACTCATCAGTGCTTAAATTTATTCATTTGAAAGTATAATCTGTCTTAATTACTGAATGGCTAATAACTAACAAAGCGAGAGTATCTGAAGAAGATAGAGCACAAGTTTGATATGAGTCCCCACCAAATAGTTTTTTATTCCTAATTCCATATGAATAGAAATATTAGAAAAGGAAAAATTCAGGAATAATGTGTTTGGTTCTGGGTATCATATTTTAAAATGGATTTTAACAAAATAAAGTATTTCAGAGAAGGACATGAGGATTGGCAAGAGTTTAAAAACTATGTTATGTAATGAATGCCCTCAAGAAATTTTCTCAGATGATAATTGATTATTGTTGAGAAAAAGTACAAAATAGAATCAGTGGGTGTAACGAATATAGAAACATTTCTGTTCAGTATAAATGTTTCCAACTATTATAGCTGCTCACCTGTTTGAGTGGGTTTTCTAACGTGAGTTGAAAAATCTACTCACAGGTGTTGTAAGTAGATCATAAGGAATAGATATCATGATGATTTTAAAGCAGTACAAGAAAAATCCTTCACTGAAAAGATAAGGGCATATGATATTTTGATCCAAAAAGACTCTAATTTTACTTCTATTTTAGTTTTTCAGATGCTTCCAAAACGTTAAGCTTTAATGATGTATGTACAATTATAATCAAATCAGAGATGTCATTTAAACAGCAGATTATAACAGATTATTAAACAGCATAGTTATGAGTAGGATCTTAATTGTATATAATATTCTTCTTAACCTTACATGTCGATAGCTAGTTTCTGCTAAACTTTTTCATTACATATAAAAATAAGTAGAAATGAAACATATTTGGTATAGCCTACTAATTAGTATTAGAAACACACTAATATATTTGTATATAGTTTTATTATCATTAAATATAAATATTTGCTGTGGATAGGACAAAACAAGTGTTGCCAAATAAGTTTTCTTAAATTTTAATGAATAAAAAATGAGAACTATAATCACATTATCAGTGTAAAAATTTAGTCTTGCTTTTTTCTTTCATATTTTTGTTATTTTTAAGTATACTCTTGTAAAAAGGTTAAAAATTGGGTTTTCTGTGCATCTAAACAGTACTCTTTTATGTACTAATTTTTTCACTTGTTAACTATTGTAATATTAATTCATTTAAGATGTGACTAGAATACAGTAATAAGCACCTAAAATACAGTGAATGACACAGCAAAAAATGGAATTTTGTATAACATATATCAGTCTATAGAAATGTTCCAATATGTCAGGCTAGGTTCCTCTATGAAATCATTCAAGGTTGATGCTTCCTTCTTGTTGCTCTATCAGAATCCCCTCAGGTATTGTCACCATCTAAATGTTTAAGGCTGGGCTGCTACCAGTTTGTAGTTTCAGCCCATGAAAAGAAAAAGAACATGAGAGAGCCTTATAACATCCCTTGTCTTGAAGGGCTGGAGTACAGACATCACTTCTCTTCCAACTGGCAGAAATGTAGTCATATGAAACACCTAATAAGAGTTTCTTCCACAGTTGATTCTTTGCCTTTTTAATTAACTAGCCAATTTAATTTGTTTAACAAGAAATGTCTTTATCAATTATTGGTTAATTTTTACCATCTTTTTCAGTTAGATGTAATCATAGCAGATTTGGATGGAGGCACTATTAAAATTCCTGAATGTATTCACCTGTCTTCCCTCCCAGAACCACTTCTACGTCAGACTCAAGCAGCTCTTTCTTTGGTATGAAGAATTATCTGTCCTTCCTTGATTCAGTTCTGAAACTAACAATTGGAATTAAAAATTATCAGTGTGCTTAATTTTAAAAGAGCATTATATATTTGAAACATAAACATCTTATAGTACTGAGAATAAAATTCTTTGCCAGGTAATTATCTAAGTGGTGTACTTAGAATCCTAACTGAACATTTGTTCTCCATGTATTCCTTCTTTCAGCATTTTACTCAGTAACTGCTATGTACCACTATTGTGCTAGCTATTAGAAATAGACCTGTGAACATAAAACAGAACTGTCCCTTAGAAACCCTGATTCTTCCAAAAAGTCCCTGCTTCTGTTCTGTAATGTCCATCTTGGCATTGGCAAATGCTGTGATATTGTCTTGTCAGTGTTTTCAGGTTAGTACAAAAAGATTTGACTTACTGTAATATTAACTGGCCAGTATTCCATGCAGTCATGTTCTAAAAATTGTGGCCTGAGTTTTTCAGATTGAAACAAATTGAATTTGGTTATGTTACCTTAGTTCATTTTTAAAAACATTATTTTACTGATAGCCCCTTAGATGCTCAATTATCTATCATCAAAAAATCAAACCTTAGAACTTCTGCATTTCTTTTTAAAATGTTAGTAAAATTAAGCTAGGTGTGGTAGTACATTCCTGTAATCCTAGCACTTGAGAGGCTGAGGCAGGAAGATTGCCACAAGTTCAAGGCTACCTTGGGCTGGCTACACGGTGAGTTCAGCCTGAACTACCTAGTGAGACTCTGTCTCAAAAAAAAAAAAAAAAAAAAAAAAAAAGTAGAAATAAGGCCTTTGTATTTTTCTAAATAATAATCCAATCAGAGAATTTAAAAATGTTTTTTAGGGGGTTTGTTTTCCTTAAATAGAAGCTGAGAAGTCTAGGATGGCCAAGAAGTGTTTTTATTCACAGAATACTGTCAGTTTTATATTAGTCTTTATGTTATTACAGTGGTTATCCATTAAGGGGAGCATTCAGAGAAAACTGACTTTTTGTAATATATTTGTAACCTGGGATATAAGGGCAGATAATACTCACATTCAGGGTGAGCCTTCCCATTATCCATATCCAGCACCATACCAAACCAATCAGTGAACTAATTTAGTAACCTACATTCTAGATCCAGTTACCTCTGAAAAACCCCACCTATGACCAAATGAGGCTTTGGGGCAACATCTAGATACAAACCACAATATAAACTAATTGAGGGAAAAATACTAGTGCAGGACTCAGTCTGTATTCTGCTGCTTGATATTATTAAGCCAATCATATCCCATCTCTAAGCCTGTTTTTTGATCATTTATGTATAGGATTAGTGATTTATACAGAGGTGAATATGTGACTTTTGCTATATGAGGCCTGATGGTGATTTTGGATGGAATATGATAAATCTTTTTTGTTTTCGTTTAATGATTATGGATTTATTATAATGTATATTTAAAATAGTACCTAAACTTTTGATTTTTAAATATAATATCATCTAAGAAAATACTCGATTTGAAAAGCTGAGTTGATTTAAAGACAATTTTAAAAAAACTAACCATATAATTATATAGATGACATGGATATGGACATAGCTGAGAAGATATCTGAGTGATTTAAAAAATTGTTTCTAGAAATCTTATTAAATCATCTGTGATTGCTTAATAGGGATATTAGTGGTTATTAGGAAATTAAGTACCAAAATTCTTATATTTCATCTATTATATTATAGCAGTTATCACATTACATTATACTTTTCCCCTTGTGGACTGTACAGTTCAAAGCATGTTCCTTCTCTCCTCCATATCTTAGTTTGTTTCTAATTATACTAGAAAACATAAAAACAAATACTCATATCTATTTTTTTAAAAAAATAAACTTTATGGACATGTCTGCCCCAGATTATTCCCTTCTCAGTGGTCACTACAGTTTTACAGTTTACCAAATATTTTTTGAGAGCTTTCCATTCATAGGATTATCTGTGTCTGTGTGTGTGTGTGTGTGTGTGTGTGTGTGTGTTTGAGGCTTATTTTCACTTTTTCTGTGACTGCTTTTCACTTAATATTTTTTGTCTTGATCTTTCCACAATAGTGTATACAGAGCTACCTCACCTTACTAAATTGCATTTCATAGAGGAAATTATGATATATTTTATGTACTAACATTTCAGTGTAATGCCCCAAACAGATTAAAGAGTGAATTTGCTGATATTTGGATATCTTACATTAAAAACTTCTTTACTTCAGATTTTACACCCCGATTTGGAAGTGGCAGATCATGCTTTCCCTCCTCCACGAACAGCTTTGTCCCACTCAAAAATGCTGGTAAGAAGTTTAATATTTAAATTTGATACTTTAGAAAACAGCAACAGTTTTATTCATAGAGTTGTTAAAGAAGTGAGTGAAGTTATAGTTACATGGACATCATAATAAAAATTATGCCCCAAATTAGAAATTAGAAATGTCCCTGACTCTCCTTATATTCTACTCAAGGAGTCACCACAGGCCAGTGCACTGGCCAGGAGAAGAGTAGAACTATAGCTGTTGGCTGAAGAGCTAAGAGTAAGTACAGGACAGAAATCTATGGCCTGAAAACTGCCAAGTGTCACATATATGCCAAGCAAGGACTTTAAAGGAGGAATCTTACAAAAATGGAAACAGTGAGTGTTGATTATTGGAGAGAATCAAGTTTGAAGAGTGAACAAAAAGAATTTACAAAAAGGGTTAATGAGTAACAGAGATCTCTTTTTAACTTTTCCCAGTGTAGTTCTTAGAGGTAAAATGTATGACTAGTGTGACTCTCATAGAGCTAACCTCCTTTGACAACTATTTTAACTATTCTTGGCCTTTATTTCCAATCCCTTCTCAATAAGGGATTGGCTCAATAAATCTGACTTTCCTTACATTTTTGAAACTATGATTCTATTAAAACCTCAATTGTCAAAATTTTTAAATTATACATTATTAAAATAAGAATAGATTTTTGTAAGTCAGATAAATTTTGGAAGAATTTTGTAAGCTTTTAAGGTCTCTTTTGAAGGTACTTTTTTCTTTTATATTGTTACTATAATTCTTTTGGTGGTTTAAATATCAAAGAACTTGGGATATGTGCCCTTTGAAACATGATAAAAGAAAAGAGACTGTGTTACTTACTCCCCAGAAGAAAACTGGATGTACTAGAAGCAAATTTTCTTTGGTCCAGTATGAAGCCCTGTTTAGCAACCTAACCTGTGCAATAGTAAAATGGACTAGAAGCCCACTACTCATGGTTACCACAAATGACACAAATGTGTAGTAAGCAGAAAGAGACAGTCTTTATAGCTTTTCCCCCCATCTTTTTGACTTGATATTTCATTTTTAAGGAATTAAATTACCAAGTGTGGGTTTTTTTCTTATATTTTCAGGATAAAGAAGTCCGAGCAGTTTTCCTTAGATTGTTTGCACAACTTTTCCAAGGGTATAGATCATGCCTACAACTTATAAGAATTCATGCAGAGCCAGTAATACATTTTCACAAAGTAAGATACAGTTCTATGTTTTATTTATCCAACAAGTAGAGTCTAATTTAGTAAAACTACTGCATTGTTTTTTTCTAGTCATATTTCAGCCTTAATTTTTGTGTGTTGAAGATGATAGGTTTTGTTGTGTTGTTTTGTTTTTGTGGTAGTGGGAATTGTTTTCTGGTACTGGGTATTCTATCCACAGGAACACCCTCAGCTCCTTTTTTTTATTGTATTTTGAGACAGAGTCTCATTAAACTATCCAGGCTTGTCTCAAACTTTTGATACTTCTGCCTTAGCCTCCCCAGTAGCTGAAATTACAGGCGGGCACCATCATACCCAATGATAGTTTTTAATAATACTATGGAACTGATAATACTTTCTTTAAAGTAGTTTAATAGAATTTTAAAACTTCTCTTAAAGTTGTTAATTTATGCTTTCTTCTTCCTACTGAATAAACAGATTCAGTTTTATTTCTAAAAGATATACTATTTCAGGATGCCAGTAGTTATACATAAAAGCATTTATGTAGACGTCTGTTATATTTTTGTTTTGACCATACACCCATTACCAAATTATAAATAATAAATTACCATTTTACATTTTCTTTCTTTACAGACAGCTTTCTTGGGGCAGCGTGGTTTGATTGAAAATGATTTCCTCACTAAAGTACTCAATGGAATGGCATTTGCAGGTTTTGTTTCAGAAAGAGGTCCTCCCTATAGAACCTGTGATCTCTTTGATGAGGTATAGTTCCTATAAAATAAATGCATTATTTATAGATATAGTTAGAGTAGTAGTTAAAAGTAGATAGGTGTTATTTTTAATATTTACCTAAAATTTTATAAATTAAATATCCAAATATTTATTATGTTAATCAAATATACTTATAGGGTATCTCAGAAGTATGTAAAAATTTTAAACGATGAATTTTAAATATTTGGTTAAAATATGACAGATGCTATATGTCAAACTCATTTTTTAAGGCAATAATAAGTGATTTCTTTATTAATCTGTGAGGGAGAAAGGTCTAATTTTGATACATAGACAGGTGACTTCAAATTGCAGTATATTTAATCCATCAGTATCATAAAACCAAAGTTTGACTTTATGGCATTCTTACTAACCAATATTCAACATTTGTCTAGCTCCCTTAGGAGATAGGAAATATATAGAAGACAGATTTAGTTTCTAAATACTAAGGAACTGGCCATTACAACAGAGACACAAGGCCAGTATGACTCACAAAAAGGATACATTTTTATATTTTTTTCTTTTGTTAAAAGCACCTTTGCATTTATTATTTATGTTCACAGCAGTACATTTTGGGATATAAAATAATGAAGATTATTTCTTTTTCTGAAATGAGCATTGTATTAGAACCAATAAATCTAAAAGTTCCTAGAAGTCAATAAAAAACAGTACCCAAGTTAATGGATAATATATTAGTGGTCATATTTTGGTACTAGTGATTTTATTTGAAAACATATGAGTAGAAAACATATGAGTCAAAGTCTTAGAAATGCTCGCTCCAGAGGAGAAAGATCTTTTATCATTTTTAATGATAGATAAGAATTATAGAAGAGGGTTGTGTTTTAGTTGTAAGAAGACCTGAACCAAACGCTGTAGTTCAGTGATCACTAACCTTTTAGAGCTTTCAGTGATACAAATAGCCTGTTACAGTACACATGCCATAGGTTTACCACCACTGCTTTAGTTGAAGTATGTGACGAGATTATCCTGAGAAACACAGTTCTTTCTAGCCAATTATTAAACATTAATTCTCTGTTGAGAATATGATTATACATTGATTATACTAACATCAGCTTTTGGATTCTAAACTGATTGATACATAATGATGTTTTAAGAGTTTTAACTTAGATGCTCTCCAAGATCCTTTGTAGTTCTTACAGTGTGTTAGTCTCTATAACTTTATTGTTAGTAAAATTGGTTTAGTCCCTTATTTCTTTTCTATTCAATTTTTTCCTCATTCATTCCTTATAGCAGCTTCATCACAACTAAAAAATCAGATTGATTATTTGCAGAAAATTTGCTTTCCTCTGCCTTTATTTGTTCCCTTGCCATCGAATATCTTGCCTCTACCCTTTAACTCAACCATGATCCTCTGTTCTTCATATTCAGATCTTATCTAAGCCTACTTCAGAGTTTCTAAAACAAGTTAACTTTGAGAGCTACTTGACTGCATTAATCTCTGACTTTATAGGAAGCTATTTTATTTTATTTTATTTTTTGGTATCAAGAACCAAACTTAGGACCTTGTGTTTATCAGGGAGGCACTGTGCCACTGAGCTATATCCCTGACCTAAGGCAGTTTATTTTTTATCATTCATATAGATATATGTGTATATATATATATATATTATGATTATATCCTTTAGATTAGAAATAATAATAAAGACTCTAAGATTCTAAGGGGATCTCCCCTTGGTGTTTATCCAGTTCTGTGTTCTACATGCAGTGGTGGTGGTGGTTTTTGGTGTCTTACTATGTGGTTGCTTGAAAGCCAGTAAGTCATATATATATGTTAGTGCAAGGCATCAGACCTGAGTAATTTCTGGTTTTACTCTTTAGCCTTTTATGTGGAAATATGCTTTTGTAGGAAAATAATATTTGCTCTGGGGAAAGGGATACCTATTTAGGGCAACCTACCCCATGGAACCTTTGGAGGGTGTTAAGAAGCAGCTTACATTGTTTTTTTTGGTTTTTTGGTTTGTTTGTTTTTGTTTTTATTTTTGTTTTCACCTCACACTCATCAAGTAGGCATCTAAGATGCCTGTATGGAATGCTTCTGTATGGAAGTCTCTTAGTCCCTGGCCTAAAATAAGAGAAATTATGGTTTTATATAGCTCTCTGTTCCAATGAATGTATTAGTTCCTAGAAGGAAGAATCTTTATTGTTCCTTTTCTTTTTTGTCTTCCCTACATTTATCCTCCGGCTTTTCCTATCAGCACTGTTCTCTGTCCTATGTGTACAAATTCGTATGGTTCTCCCAGTAATCAATAAGCAATGGAGGATAGATATGTGTATATATGTATAGATATACATGTACATATATATATACATATATATGTATATATATATGTATGTGTGCATATATATGTGTGTGTGTGTATGTATATGGAGAGGGTTATTTTATTGTTGTCTTATTTTAGGGGTAAGAAAACTGAAGCACAGGAGTTTAAAGTAATGTATTCCCGTTTAAGTACCAATGTCAACAGAGCTAGGACTGGAGTCTGAGCAATCTGACATGAGCATTTGGTTCATGTTTTGTCTGTTCAAGAACTATTTGAAGACTTTCTGAGTTTCTCTGAGTAAGAGAATCCTCTGAATGCGACCTGTAGAAATTTCTGAGTTCCAGAAATAGGGCTGTTAATCATCAAGGAGGGACCAGCAAGAATGTAAGAATTTAGTAGGCCTCTGTTACCCTAAAATAGAGGTGAAGCCCAGTAAAAATCTGAAATATTTTGTTTTAAAATACTATCTATTTTAAGTGGGTTTTGGTTTGCAAATTACATAGAATTATCATAATTTTTTAATTCAGTGTATTTTGGAGTTGATATTTTGCCATTTGATTCTTTTTCCAAGTTGGTAGCTTTTGAAGTAGAAAGAATTAAAGTTGAAGAAAATAACCCATTGAAGATGATAAAGCACATCAGAGAACTTGCTGAGCAACTATTCAAAAATGTAAGTGTATTTGTTTAAACATTTATTAATTTAAAAAGTGTTAATCAAATGTTTCATTTGTATAACTAAAATCTTCATTTTTTGTGATAATCTTTTTGCTTTGGATTATAAATTATAATATAATATAACTAGTGTAATCTCTAGCCTCCCAAATTCTAGTGTCTGCATGAGAGCACACTTAGCTACTTACCTGCCTTGTCGCTATGATTCTCAATGTATACTTATAAAGAAATACTCATTGCACAAAAATAAGAATATTAAAATAGACCAAGACAAATTTTTATAAAATCTCCATTCCAGGGCATTAAGATCACTCGGACATACATGTTACTATTATACATAAAATGATTTTTAAGTTTGTTTTGCAGATATAGTAGTACATAAATATTTGCTACCCTATGTAATTTAACACTTTAAAGTTAGAGAAAAAAATTAAAGGACTTAGATTTTCTTACAGATGTTTCTGATTGTGCCTTGGAGGTATTTTATTGCTAAGCATTGAACTAAATAGGTATTAAAATCTATAACCTTTTGGGAATTAAATTCCCAAAGTTCAAACATAGGAATAGCCATTCCACATTTTACAGGGTCTACATCCTTTCATTTTTGTAGAAAGTTAACCTTATTACCCCAGTAAACTTAATCTGTAGTGAGGGTATTTGTACTCCTTACTAACCATTAATAAAGGTTTTTTTTCCATTCTAGAGAAGAAGTAAATTATTGTGACTATCTGTAGTTTCAGAGTAATAAAATATTAGATGTAAACCACTTAAGACTATTATGATGAAATAAAGGCTCTAATCCAAAGCATAATCTCATCCTAGGATTTGTTTGTTTACTTATCAGTCTGTTCTTGTGATTTGAAGTAAGTAACATTAAACTTTCCAATGTACACTTCTCTGGGTCTTGACAAATGCATAGTATTATCTAACCATAAGCACTATAATAAGTATATGGGAATTTTCTGTCACTCCTTAATAACTGTTCATAATCGTGTCTTCTCACTATCTCAAACATTTCATAACCACTGACCTGTTTTCTGTCTCTAAAGTTTTGTTGTTTCTTAATATCATCATACAGATTTTTGAGTTTGGATTCTTCACTGAAATATAATGTGTTTTGCATTTATGTGTGTTGTTTCATATATTAACTGTTTTTCCTTTTTATTGCTGAGTAGTATTCCACTTTATAGATGTATTAAAGATTTATTTATCTGATGACAAAAGATAAATTTGGCAATTATGAATGAAATCATTCTAAACATTCACCCAGGCTTTTGAGTGAATTTAAGTTTTCATTTGCCTTAAATAAGTACTTGGGAGTAGAATGCTGGCATATGTGATAACACATTTAACTTCTTGAGAAACTGCAAAACAATTTTTCTAAGTGTCTAGCATTTTGCATTCCCACCAGCAGTCTGAAAGTTCTATTTGCTCCACATCTTTACCTCCATTTGAAATTGTCAGTTGTTTGTTGTATTTGACTAGAATAGGTATAACTTGTAGTCTAAATTTACATTTATTTCAGCAGGTGAATGAGAATACACGTATTTTAATTCCATTCTATGCTGCCTTGGTACTTGTTACAAAAGTATTTATGTTAGAATAGGAAACCTGCTGGAGATTTTAATTAGAGTAGTGGGCCTCAAAGGGACAGTCCTCCTCTATTCACACCATGAAAGTTCACAGTGTCTGGGGACATTTTTACTTGTCACCACTAAAGGGAATATGCTTTCATCTAAATTACAGAGACTAAGGATGATTTCTAAACGTTATACAATGTGTAAAACACACCAGCCTTAAGAAAGACAAATAATCATCGAGCCCAAATGTCCATAGTGAAGAGGTTAAGAAATAAAACCTGGATGAAAGAAGTTAGCACATGCAATAGGAAAGTCATCCACCAAATTTATTTATATTGAGCATGAGATATTAATTAGGTGAGCACTTAAAGACCTGTGAGTTTGGAAAATTGAGAGTATTTCATTTCCATCAATATTGTATATACTGTGAAGTAAAACATTGTTTTGCTAATATTGGAAGATTTACTCTCTAGGAACTGTATTATCTTCCACTATATATGAAAAGATACATATAATGTACTATTTATATAGCTCTAGGTTTACTTTGTGCATTTTAAATAACTTTAAATATCTGAATTAATCTTTTTTAAAATTTTATTTAAAAGGAAAAAGAGAAAAAACAAAAACAAAACAAAATGGTGTAAGGGTACAAGTAATATAGAACTACAAAAAAAAAAAAACAGTAAGAAATCACCAGTTAATAGATTACATATTATCATCTTAGAGATAGTTGCTCAAGTCACAGTATCAAAGCATACAAAATAGAAACTCAGTGAGACTGCAAACAGTTGTATTCAATGATCCAACCAAAAACATTAATATGGTCAGCTATTTAACACCCCTAAACATTTTTGCTGTTGTATCCTTTAGAGCACTTTTTTTCTCTCTCTTTTTTACAACAAAATTTATACATTTTGGGTTTTATTGCTCCTTAGTTCTTATTACTTTTTTTGGGGGGGGGAGAATAAAGTCAAATATGGCAAAACAAAGCTGTCAGTCAAAACCAAGGATAGACATAGCACATGATATAAAACAGAGTACAAGGTTATCAACAATGATTATCAACAATGTCTCTTGTTTCCTTAAAAAGAATTGTCTATCTCATTAGACATTATAAAGTTGAACAAAACAGTAGAGAACAAGACCAATAAAACTAAAACATTGTAAACATTACAGGACTTCCAAAGGTGACAATATTGAAATCAGAATGGGCATCTTAGTGAATCTTATTGCCTTCAAAGTAGTTGCCTATACCCTCAAACTTGATACTATCCTACGGAATGGAACAGAGTCTAATCAGTCAAAACAAGATAGGGGGAGTATTACAGGACTTCAAAACAAGTTAATAGGAAATCGAAAAAAGTAACTATTAAATATCCTGCTAATTTTTTAAATTTTTCCCCTTATTAAAAAAACCATAAAAAATAACTAAATAATTTTTTTAATGAATAAGGGAGAGATTGAGATAAAACAGGACATAACAATATAACCATACAGGTCAAAGCATGACTGTTTCAGCAACCTAGTGCTTCGACACCAAATAACCCGACTTAATAGTAGTTACCATAGTGTCTGTCTTTTTCCTTGAAATATTTGAGTAAAACTTCATATACTACAGCTTCAAATATTTCCATATCAAGAAGCCCAGAATAAAGCCTTTCCAATTAATAAGTGAATACTTTATAAGGCTTCAAGGCCACATAATGGGGAATCATTATTACCAGATATTTTTATATATTTGAATCATTACTTACATTAGGGAAACTATTTGGTATTCACACATGCGAGATTGATTTCTTTCACTTATGATTATGGTCTCAAGCTGCGCCCACTTATTGATAAATATCTCAATGTGATCCTTTATGGCTGAGTAATACTCCATTGTATAGAAATACAACTTTTTTATCCATTCCTCAGTTGATGAACACTTGGGTTGTTTCCAAGATCTGGCGATTACAAATTGTGCTGCTATAAACATAGCTTCACATGTATCACTGTGGTATGATGCTTTCAGTTCTTCTGGGAATATGCCTAGAAGTGGAATAGCTGGAATAAATGGGACTTCCAATCCCAGCTTTTTGAGAAATCTCCAGACTGGCCTACACAAAGGTTGTACCAGTCTACACTCCCACCAACAGTGTAGGAGAGTTCCTTTTTCCCCACAGCCTCTCCAGCATTTGTTGTCATTGGTTTTCTTGATCCTGGCCATTCTTTCAGGAGTGAGACGGTATCTCAGTGTGATTTTAATCTGCATTTCTCTAATGACCAATGATGATGAACATTTTTTCATGTATTTATTTGCCATTTGTATTTCTTCATCTGAGAAGTGCGTATTCATCTCAGATGCCCATTTTTGGATTGGATCTTTGAATTTTAGGGGTCTAAGTTTTTTTTTAATTCTTTATATGTTTTAGACAAGAGTCCCTTGTCTGAGAGAGTTCACTAAAATCTTTTCCTAGTTTGTGGGTTTTCTTTTCACTATGCTGGAGATTTCTTTTGACATGCAGAACTTTTTAGTAAGAAGTGGTCCCAGTTATTGATTCTGGGAAGTATTTCCCATGCGTTTTGAGTCCTGCTCATGAATTCTCTACCTACCCCTATGTCTTCAAGGTTTCTATCCAATTTGTCTTCCAATAGATTTAGTGTTTCTGTTTTAATATTCAGATCTTTGACCCATTTAGATTTTAATTTATATGGTGATAGACATGGGTCTAGCTTTAGTTTTCGGCAAATGGAGAGCCAGTTTTTCCAGCACCATTTATTAAAGAGACTGTCGTTCTTCCAGTGAACCTGCTTAGCTCCTTTATCAAAGATAAGGTGGTTGAGTGTGTTTGTAGTTGTGGCTGTATCTTCTAATCTATTCCATTGCTCTTCGGCTCTGTTTTGATTCCAGTAACATGTTGACTTTACTACTGTTGCTTTGTAGTATAACTTGAAGTCAGGGATTGTGATGCCTCCTGCCTTGCCTTTGCTGCTTAGAATTGCCTTTGCTATTCTAGGTCTCTTCTGGTTCCAGATGAATTTTAGGAGTGATTTCTCTAGATCTATAAGGTATGTTGATGGTACTTTTATTGGGATTGCATTGAATCTGTATAACAGTTTTGGGAGAATGGCCATTTTCACAACGTTTGTTCTTCCTATCCATGAACAAGGGATGTTTTTCCATTTTCTGAGATCATCTTCAATTTGTTTTTTCAGTTTATTATAATTTTCCTTGTATAGGTCTTTATTTTTCTGCTTGCTAATGTGAAGAGTGTGGTTTCTCTTATTTCCCTCTCTGTGATTTTGTTGTTTGTGTATAGGAATGCTATTGATTTCTGAGTATTGATTTTGTATCCAGCTACATTACTGAATTTACTTATTGTATCTAAGAGTCTTTCAATGGAGTTTAGGGAGTCTTCTATGTAGAGTATCATGT